TCTCAGTGTTGACTCCTGAGAAGTACTGTCCTAGGAGACAGCTACTTGGGTTTTGTACATTTGGTAACAAGCCTTCTGAGCCTGGCAGTTGAGCTGATTTATTCCATCTGCATTATTGTCTACTTTTTCATGTTTTAAGAATTTGGTTTTAAAGATACTATGAGAGACTGTCAGAAGTCTTGCTGTGTCTGGGTACTCTGTCATCTGTAGCCTTTTCTCACAGAAGATATGTTGATAAAATGTGACTCGTACTTGGCAAATCCTGGTTGTTCTCAGTCACATTTTTATTCTTCAGGTGACTGCATGTGGTTTTCGGGAGAATTTGCCCCATAGTCTTTCTGGGGACAGGTTATGCTGACTGACCTATACTTTCCCTGGTCTCCTCCCCTTGGTCTTGAAAATGGGCATGGTGGTTTGTTCCAGTCACCTTCCCCCAGTGTCTGTGACAGAGCTAGTATTGCTCTTGCACTGATATGTGATCTCCATCAACACCCTTGGCTTCTGTTTGGTACCATAGATGCTAGCATGATTGTCTTAACATCTCATCTGTTGTGCTCCTTTATGCCCCTTCCCCATCCCCAACTCTGTCACTAGTCATAGGGACCAGGAAGGCCAGAGTGCAGAACTTAAATGCCTAAAGTTTTACTGTTATTGAGTACCCATAGATTCTTCAGTGTCATCTATTACTTGATGCCCTGTCCTATTGATCTGTTCTCACACTTTTCTTGGCTTCCTTTTGCTTTCAGTCTTATATTTTCCTCAGCAAAGTGAACAAAACCAGATGGATACTCATGTCCTTCAGCTTGGCCCCCAGAGCCTTGTATTTTTTTCTGGATGTGCAGTGTGATTGGTGTCCAGGTTTGTGTGCAGCAAGTGTCGATATTCTGATGATAAGCCTTGGCAAATTCTCTGTAATATCCCAGATCCAAGTCCCTTTCAGGCACCAAACCTTGTGAGACATAAAGTCTGATTAGTAGCTGAAGGTGGCGAATGCTTGGATAGGATTTTAACAATGGCAATGGATAACTTGCTTTGATTCATTCCTCCTTTCCCATCTTGCCTGTTACATTAAAGAATGGTTATAGCTGGAAATCCTGTTTATTTAACGGTTAGTCAGGACATCATGTTACTTTAATAGCATGCCTAGTGTAGGAAGAAGATTAACTTAGTTATGGATTACAGTAATACCAGTTTCTGGAATCAGAAACACATTTTGTGCAATCTTGTCAGCTTACATGGAAACAAAAGACACTTCCCTTGACTTCCCTGTGCTTCTTGTGACAACAAGATACTCCTACAGATACTTGGCACCTGTGTTAATAGAATAGAATAGTTCAGGTTGGAAGGGACCTTAAAGACCATCTAGTTCCAACCCCCTGCCATGGGCAGGCCGGTGTGCCCCCAACCCCCGCCCAGCCAGGCCTTGAACGCTCCCAGGGATGGGGCATCCACAGCTTCTCTGGGAAACCTGTCCCAGTGGCTCAGCACCCTCACCCTGAAGAATTTTTTCCTTATCTAAATCTACCGTCTCTGTTTAATGCCTTTACCCCTTATCCTGTCACTACAGGCCCCTGTAAAAAGTCCCTCTTCAGCTTTCTTGGAGGCCCTTTCAAGTACTGGAAGGTCTCCCTGGAGCCTTCTCTTCTCCGGGCTGAAGAAGCCTGATTCTTTCAGTCTGTCCTTGTAGCAGAGGTGTTCCAGCCCTCTGATCATCTCCATGGCCTCCTCTAGACTCACTCCAACTCATCAATGTTGTTCTTATGTTGAGGGCTCCATAGCTGGGAGCAGACTAGAGGGGGAGAATCCCCTCCCTCAACCTGCTGGTCATGCTTCTCTGAATATAGCCCAGGATACAGTTGGCTTTCTGGTCTGGCTCATGTCCAGCTTTTCACCCCACAGTACTGCCAAGTTGTCCTCCTCAGGGCTGCTCTCAAGCCATTCTCTGTCCAGCCTGTACTAGTGGTTGGGATTGCTCCAGCCCAGGTGCAGGACATTGCACTTGACCTTGTTGAATTCCATGTGGTTGGCACAGGCTCACCTCTCCAACCTGTCCAGGTCCCTCTGGATTGCATCCCTTCCGTCCAGCGTGTCGACTGCACCACACAGCTTGGTGTTGCAGAAACCACCCAGTGCTCTTGCTCATTTTCTGAGATTTCACAATTCATTGTGTCCTAGATGAGCAAGCAGTAAGGTGATAGCTATAATGAGCTTTGTAGGAGTATATGCATCTTTCTGTGGTCCCCTTTTGATTGTTGGAAACTTTACTTGGTATTTGCTGGAAATTATTCTCTTCTAAACTTGTCTGCATTCTCAGTTGAATACCTCAAAGTCATCTGGATACATAGTCTCCTTGAAGAGCTCCATACACTTACATTCATATTCTAGAGCCTTTACAGACTGTCCAGGGGGTGAATGGATCTGTATAAGCTTATGACTGGATGAAGACTTCAGTGGTGAAGTAATCCTTGAGTTTATTCCATATAGTACATAAGTATACTGTGGTATACTTGGAGATAATAAACATAATCAGGGAGTGAGGAGGGAAGAACCCTGTGGTAGCTAAACTTCACCTAAATTAGAGATTTATTAAGTAGCATGCCTGGTAGTTTGGTTTCACAGTTATTCAAGTGGAGTCCTTGAAGAAACTTCTGAGACTGTTACTTATGACATCTGTGGATCAATGTAAATTAAACCTTCACTGCAGGAATGTAGTTTTCCCCTCCTTAATCTTTTGCTGGAAATAAAACTTCAGTCCTGGGTAGTTACTTCACCTAAGAGTTAAATCCAAATTCTCCTGTGCAGAGATCTGTGGAGTGCAGTTTGTAGTATTGGAAATGAAATGGATAGTTAGATCAACCTCAATATTTTGTTAAGAAATTAGCATCTGATATAGAACATCAGTATCTAGTTTATTAAAGGGTGACTGTGGTGGGCTGAGCCTGGCTGGAGGCCAGGTGCCCACCAAAGCTGCTCTGTCCCCCCTCCTCAGCTGGGCAGGGGAGAGAAAAATGTAACAAAAGGCCCGTGGGTCGAGGTGAGGACAGGGAGAGATCATGCACCAGTTATCGTCATGGGTAAAACGTAACTTGACTTGAGGAAAATTTATCACCAATCAAATCACAGTAGAATAATGAGAACTAAAACCAAACCTTAAAAACCACCCCGCCCTCCCCCACATCCTCCTCCTGGGCTGAACTTCACTCCTGCTTTTCTCTACTTCCTCCCCTCGCAGCAGCACAGGGGGACAGGGAATGGGGGTTGTGGTCAGTCCATCACAGTTGTCTCTGCTGTTCCTCCTCCGGGGCGGATCCTCACACTCTGCCCCTGCT